CCGCTGATTTCTCAAAAGAAACCTTATAAGCAAGAAGTGGCTGGAAAGAAGTATTTGAAGTCATGAAAAACAAGGACCTACATCCAAGATTATTCTCTCTAGCAAACCTATCATTTACAATGGAAGGGTAGATAAAGTGCTTCCTAGATAAGGTCAAGTTAAAGGAGTTCACCATCACCAAGCCCTTATTATATGAAAAGTTAAAAGGACTTATCTAAGAAATAGAAGAACAAAAACTATTGACAGAAAAGTGACAACAAACTCACAACTATCAACAACTGAACCTAAAAAACAAAAACTAAGCAAACAACTAGAACAGGACCAGAAAAATGGAGATCACATGGAAGGTTTTCAGTGGAGAGGGGGAGAGGAAGAATGGGGAGGAGAAGGTACAGGGAATAAGAAGCATAATTAGAAGGCATAAAATAGACAGGATAAGTTAAGAATGGTATAGGAAACAGAGAAGCCAAAGAACTTATATGTACAACCTGTGGACATGAACTAAGGCAGAAGGGTAATGCTGGAGGGTGGGTGGGGGGGGGGGGGGTGTAGGGCTGAGCAAGGGAAAAAGGGGATAAAAAAACTGAGAAAACTATAACAGCATAATCAATAAAATATACTTAAATAATTATAAAACTGTGTTGGTAGGCTATAATTTATATGAAAATAACAACACAAAGGAAGAAGGGAATGAAACTACATAAAGTTTTGTATGCTACTGAAATTATGTTGGTATTAATAGGAACCAGATTACTATAAATTAAGATTATTATTTATTTCAAAGGCAGCCCCTAAGAAAATAGCCGAAAGCATACACAGTAAAAGAAATAAGAGAATTAAAATGGTAGAACAGAAAATATTTAATATGAAAGGTGGCAATAATGGAGGAATAGCTGAAAACAAATTAGCAAAATGGCACATGTAAATCCTACCTTGTAATTACAACTAATGTAATTAGTAATACACTACCTTGTAATGTAAAAGTATTAAACATTCCAATTAAAAAACTGAGATAGGTAAAGTGGATAAAAATCTATGACCCAACTATATACTGTTTATGAGAACACACTTAAGACTGGAAGACACAAAGAGGTTTCAAGAAAAAGATGGAATTTTACATAGTCAAATGGAACTCTTTCCCTCTCCTAGCAATCCTCATTTCAGTAAAAGACGCCACTATCCATCAATTGTGAAGTCAAAATGTTAAATGTGATCCTCGATTCTACCACAATTCAATCATTACATCTACTTCTGAGCAACTTTTGTTGGTTAAATTTTCTTGAAACCACCATCATCTCTTGCCTATAAAAGTCTCCTAAATGAACTCCCCACTTTCATTTTTGCCCCATGTGGTCCATTCTCCAGAAGGCAGTGCAGAGTTCTTTAAAAATAAATAAATATAATACTGTTTCTCTCTGCTTTAGAGCTTTCAAAGCCTTCTCATGGTTTCTTACTCCATTTAGAATTTATTTTAATTTCCTTTCTTTTTTTCTTCAAGGGTCATCTAATACAGCCTTTGCCTACCTTTACATCTGCTACTTCTCAGGAATAGTATTGGACCAAAGAGGATACTGAAGCAGAACTGTCCAAGTGTTGAGAAAAAATTATTATTCTGAATGTAATATCCAGACATGTTAAATTCCAGAGTGACTGCACAAAGCTTTTTTCTGACATACAAGGACTCAGAATGTTCATCATCCAAAGAGCCTCACTGTAACACCTGTGGGAAACACACAGCCAGGGAAAACTGCAAAAATCCCTACCTCTCCAAAAGACAGAGCCAGCAGAAGTGTGATATAAAAACATAATAAAAATAGTATTTTAAATAACTGACAAGTAAAATTTCTGATGATATTCACATGGAATGGAAGAAGAAATAAAAACTAGTTAAGATTTTTATCCTAAGTAGAAAAAATACTAATTAATCTGTTAAAGCAAAATGTGTTATTTAAGCTTTAAGAGTAATCAGTACACTAGGTTTAGAATATATAACTTTAGAAAAAAAACAGATTAAGAAAATCTTGATCAGTAACAACAAAGTAAAAGGGGCACAGGAGGAATCAAACAAAAAGCAAAGAAAGTAGAAAACATCAGTAAATGTGAATTGGTTAAACTCATTTACTCTAAGAAGTGTCCTACACCAAATAGAAAAAATTTGAAAACAAACCCAGTATATATTATTTACAGTGAATAAAACAAAACACGATGCAGAAAGAACAAAATAATAAAGCTTTAAAACTCTAGGAAGCAAAAACTAATACAATATTATGAAAAAATAGACAAACCACATTCACAGATATTGACACTTTAAAAATTAATAAATGAGATACATAAAAAGATAAAAACGAAGGACATTCATATAAATATAATTATAGTAAGCCTGTTCTAAGACATATATCTTCACACCTAAAGACAGACTACACATTCTTTTCAAATATACATAACCAAATATACAAAACCAATTATAAAATTCCAAAGGTCTCAAAATATTCTAAAATAAAGTCATAAAGGCCACATTTATTAACTATAAAGCAATATAACCAGAACTCTACATAAAAAGGGCTTAAAAATTCCATATCCATAAGATTAAAATAAAAACTCCTATATAACCTTAAATAAATGAAAACATTAAAATAAAAATGATAAAATCCACCCTGGCAGGGTGGCTTGGTTGGTTGGAGCATCATCCTATGCACTGAAGGTTTGTGGGTTCGATCCCTGGTCAGCACACATACCTAGATTGAGGGTTCGATCCCCAGTCAGGGAGCGTACGGCATGTTTCTCACATCGATGTTTCTCTCTCACATCGATGTTTCTCTCTCTCTCTCTCCCCCTTTCTCTCTCTCTAAAATCAATAAACAAATCCTCAGGTGAGGACTTAAAAAATTATAAAACTGTAAAACATAAAAAATTAATACCCTAAAATATATTTATTAAATTAAGGAAAACTCTGTAGAGCAAAGGAAATCATCAAACAAAATAAAAAGACAACCTAAGAGAAAATACTTGCAAATCATATGTATATGGAGTTAATATCCAAAACATGTAAAAATGTCATATAATTCATTACAAAAAAAAAATCTGATTAGAAATGGGTAGAAGATCTGAATAGATGTTGTTACAAAAAAGACATACAGATACATAAAAAGATGCTTAACCATCACTAATTACAAAAGAAATGCAACTCAAAACCACAAAGATGTATCACTTCACACCTGTTAGAATGGCTACTATCAATAGCCGGTGGCAAGGTTGTGGATAAAAGGAAACTCTTGTTCACTGTTGGTGGGAATGTAAATTGGTGCAACCACTACAGAAAATAGTTTGGAGGTTCCTCAAAAAATTAAAAATAGAACTAGCATAAGATCTAGCAATTCCACTTTTGGGTATTTATCCAAAGAAAACAAAAACTACTTAAGTTAAAAATATATATGCACTCCCATGTTCAATGCACCATTTTTTACAACAGCCAAGATATGGAAACAATCTAAGTGTTCCTCAATGGACGAATGAAAAAAGAAAATGTGATATATACACAATGGAATATTATGCAGTCATAAAAAAGAAGTAAATCCTGTCACTTGCAACAAATGGAAGAAACAGGAGGCTCTGCTAGGTGGAATGAGCTCATAGATACAGAGAACAGATTGGTGGCTGCCAGAGGTGGGGGTTAAGTGGTTGTGTGAAATGCATGACAGGTGTCAGAAGATAAAAACATCTGGTTTAAAAATTTTGTAACTATATACAATGATGTATATTAACTAGACTTACTGTGGTGATCATTTCACAACATGTACAAATAACAAATCATTATGCTCTATAACTAAAAAACTAATGTAATGCTATTTAAAAAAAAAAAGTGAGTGAAAGAGAAAGGGACAATAAAAGAGCTGACTAAAATTTTACCCTTTGCAACAGTATGGATGGACCTGGAGAACATTATGCTAAGCCAAGGGAAAGACAAGTACCATATGATTTCACTCATATGTGGAATCTAATGAACAAACTGAATACTCATAGATGGACAGCAGGATGACAGCTAAGGTGAGGGGAGAGTAGGGGGCGGAGGGACTGAGCAAAAAGGAAAAAGGACTCATGGACATGGACAACAGTATGGTGACTGCGGGGGAGGGGGGTATAAGGGGACTAAATGGTAATGGAGAAAAATACAATAAAAAATTATGTAAAAAGAAAAAAAAGACCTAACTCCTCTAAAAAAAAATCCCAGAGACTCTTAGAACTAAGAAATGTCAGGTATAAAAGACATCACATAGAAGAGATTACTCCAGCTCTACCTCCTTCCTACTCAATGTCCCCGCACTCAACCCATACACAGACCTTGAGCAATAACACTGGCAGCCAAGCTTCTGTCAGGAAAATCTGAGGTTTATTCTTTAGAGAAATAAATGAAAGAGGCCTGAAACTTGAAGATAAAAGGCAAAGAAAAAGGAGTGAGGCTGAAAACTGGAGATTAACATAATGCTTCAACTACCAGGAATGGTCCCCAAGTTATATATCTAACCCTAAGACAGATAATTCAAAATTCAGTTCCTGAATGGTCCTGTAAAATAGAACTCCACAAATATTTGGGCATCTGTCAGCTTAAAAATCCACTTTAATCACCCTAAAACAATTTTGCCATCAAGTCCTACTCATGAAAACCAATTTGTAAACAGCTTTTTAATGCTCTACTCTTGACATAACTGAATAAATTCCTTATAATTTAATTTCTGCTATTAAGGTCACTGAATCTAATTTTATCATTACCCAAATTAAAAACAAAACAAAAACTATGGCCACATAGCTGCAAAGATCATAATGCAAATCTATGAGTAGTTTTGAGCAATTTTTCCTAATTATCCTCTGTGCAACTGTTATAAGAAATAGAGAATAATAAAGATCTTAGATAATTCCCAAATGAGAGACTGTCCCCAAATCCAGACCTGAACATAAATGTTAGGGCAAATAAGCATAATAAAAATTTCATCATAAAATCTTACGTGTTTATCTTTCTTTTCTATAACATCTTGTTTTTGTTTGCATTTTTGAGATGTCTCCTTAATATCTGTTGCCTGTGAGATTGAATCAGAAAGGGGGAAATTAGTTAAGAACTTAAGCAAGTAAATTATGTGCTCCACCCACCCAAATATTAAGCTGTTATGCAAGTTAACCCCCAATGCTTTTCTGTTTCTTTCAAACCAAATACATAATTATCACCAAAAATGCATTACTTGCAAATCTATGTAAGGTTATTCCTATTGATGTTGAAAATAACTGCAGCAATATGCAGACATATTTTGTTAATCTCTTCATACTTATTTTCTCACATTCTTTCACTTGATCCTAAAAACAATCCCACAGGACAGCAGGGTCCATAGTTTAAGCCATCTTCAAAAATAACCTTTGGCTCCAAAATCTCCCTAAAGAATGAAGGTCATGATCATCAAAATTTTAGTTATATTTTCAAAATATGGACAATATTCCAAATGTCATTATACTATTTATTCTAATAAAATCAAAGTTTTCTGTATCACCCTCCTCCAAAAGGGTATATATTTAGAAAGACAATATAATAAATTCACAAAAGGAATTCACTGTTTCTAGAAATACTACTCTGAATCCTCTTATAATTAAAACAAGCAAATTTCATTTTTCTCTTTTCATATCTTGATATTTCTATAAAGCAGCAACCTTCAGTGGTGATGATTAGAACCTTGAAAGCTCTGTGGTGGTAAATTTTTAGTCAAAGAATTTAAGTAACCAAAGCAACAAGGAAATCTGCAAAGTATTTTTGTATGTGCTAAAATAAAATAGAGGAAGTCCAAAATTGAGCCAGAAAAGTACCTTTGCTTTGATTCGAGCCTCCAAAGTGTGACGCTGCTTTTCAATTTCGTCAATTCGATGGGTAATAGGAATCTGCCCATCTTTAAGTTTTCTGACTTCATCCTTCACTCGGTCACGAGCTAGCTTTACTTCTTCATATTCCTGACGAACATTTTCATATTCCTTGCAATTATTAAAAAAATAGAAGTTAATGCACTACTAGTTTAAACTAACACATATTCTAAAATCAAGATAGAGGCAGAAACTAAATCTATGAAAAGATGGTTTTGACATCCATTTGGAAGGTTTATTAATATAAACACTTGCCCTCTGAAACAACTTCAGAAATGGTGAATACAGACATAATGATTTACTAAGAGTCTTGATGCTCACTGAGCATTTATCTCCACCAGTAGTCTGGACTCTCTGATATCCATCTCTTCCTATTTCTGAAACGTATAACCTAATGGCTACTAAAAGGAGGTTCTCTAGTCTTTCAAGGAAGATGAGATACAGGAATGTATACAGCAAAAGAAACTCAGTTATGAAAAATAAAAATGAAAAAAGTAGAAGACAAAAGGAAAGTAAGTCAAAAAAACAGAAAGAAGCATGCAGGTAAAAATGATGCTTGTAATGTTACAGGAATTAATAAAAATAAGTGGAACACTAACAGCAGTAAAGAGTGAATGAGACGAAGTTAAAAAGAGAAAAGAAAAGCATCAGAGTAAAGCACAAAAGAGTAAAATGAAAAGTGACTTCTTAACCTTAGAAAGTAAAAAAAAAAAAAAAAAAAAGAAAAACCAAAGACTTCGTAAAATAAAATAGATGCAAAAAAAATAATGGGTATAGAAAAATGTAATGAAAACAAGCTGAAGAAAGGAAAAAGTTTAGTAATGGCATTATGAGACAGAGTATGATGAAGTAGAAGCAGGGGTGGGAAGTGGGAGGGACACAAAGAGAGGTATGTATTTTTCCAATCTAGTAACAAATGTATTTCCATCCTAACCTTGGAACAAGCATTATAAAACTTTCTTATTCTGTTTTACCCACTGTAAAGGAATGCACTGTGGGAACTTAATTTTTAGCCAAATTGTGCTCATAAATAATAAAATATATGTTATACAACGTTTACAAATAAACAGTAGCCTCAGTAAAGCATGTGAGAAGATTACAGCTGTGTCTATAGCTGAATTTGATGTTAGTGGCACACTCCAAGTAAATTTTCAGTGACCAGAGGACATTCAAAAATTTAATTTCTACATGTGTAAACATTTTTAGATCTTAACAAAACTATCTTTTAAGGATTAAAATCTGAAAGAAATCCCACATTTGAGTTCTTAGACTTGTTACTCGTTATTACATCACACAGCTTTAGAGTAACACAAAAACAGATAAATTTTATTACTTACGATATAAAGCAAAAATGAACAGAAGCAGCTAATTTGAATTTTAGCCCTTCTTTATAACTTTTCTGCTACTTAAAGAATCACTATTTTCGCCTCTCATAATTAAGACTTACCACCCACGGCCTTTTTGCTTCAAGCATCTCAATCAAATCTAAGTGTCGCTTACGTTCATAGAACCTCTCCACATCTTGTTTGTATCTTTCATTCCTCTGAATCATTTTCTCTAGATACTCAGTTTTTTCTTTGCATGAGGTCTAAAATAAATATTTGTTTAAACAGTTTAACTGAAAAGACAACAGGTCAATTTTTTAACAATAAAAAATGTACAATGCTAACAAATTTCACAATAAAGAATTCCATAGACCTTGTTAAGTACTATGTAAAACTAACACGCACTCATAAGTTATGCATGTTAGGCTCTAGGCTCTATAATTTATTAGTCATGTAACTGTGAGGAAGCCTTGCCATATATCACTGAGCCTGGACCTCTTGCCTAAAGAAAGAAAGTTATCTGCCTCATTCATCTCAAGGGTAGAGGCAATTCACTTGCTATAGGTGCAAGTTCAACAATAGCTATAATGTGATACGCAAATGAAAATACTATTAAGGTTACGAATACCCATGAATTAAGGGCTTAGAAGTAAGAAGAAAGCTAAAATGTAGCTTTAAATTGCAAAACAGAATAACAAATACAAAGATGTACTTAGAATTTGATAGAATATACTCTTTTTTCATTTCACAAGACATTGGGAAGTTTCAATGAGTGTTTCAGATGGGAATATTAGATTGTTTAATATGGGAAAAGGTAAAAGGACTGATGGAGCACCTGCAGTAAGATAAAATAATTGCAACTCCTTTGGTCATTTACTATGAATAAGTGCAATAATAAAAATAATATTAAATTATAACAACACACGATCAAGCACAGACAGTTACAATTTGAGAAAAAGCATCAGTTTACAAGATTACTTATTACAAAAACTTATTAACATATTTTAGCTGCTGGCCTCTGAAAAATGACTCATTAAATAAAAGACCTTTACATATGATATGCAAAAAAGACATTTTAAATTTATACGTTTTATTAAAACTGAAAATAAGAATTCCACAACACTACTAAATGTATAGTTTTCTTGCAAAGTCAACCCGCATGCAACTGAAAAAATATGATAACTGGTTCAACAGAGACACAACATTAAAAGCTGTATGGTAGTTGCTGCATTACACAAAACCTTCTGCATTGCCTGGCATATGGGAGGCATTTAACAAATATGAAATGAGTAAGAGAATAATATTTAAACTCCCTGAGAGGAAAAAATACTTCATAATACTATTAGTCCTTAGAAATTCAATTAATAATATATACTTAATGAAATGACAAATTTTTCAAACTTTACATTTAGCAAATCCATTCTCACTTTTTGCCACCTAATTAATGTTAGCATTACAAGCCTGTGTGAAAAAAACACACACAAATACATGAATTTACTCAATGAATCAGAATTCACTTTCCCACATTTTGAGAAATGGAAATTTATGAGGGACAATAAAAATGAGCCACCCATTTATAAATACCTCTAGTTGTTTTTCTTTCTCCCTGAAGTTTTTGAGCTCACAGTGGTATCTGTGCATTTCTGGAGGTCCAATTGATTTCTCAGTAGCTTCAAGTAGTTCAATTTTACTGAGTTTAGCAAATTCTCCAACTTTATCCTAGGACACAACATTTAAATATCAGCAACAATTGTTGTTTACAAATATCTTCAAAACACACTTCACTCAATGATCACAGTCATCAAGATAACATAGGAAATCTTTGAGATGTGATCTTAATATGAACTCTGTCCTTTCACATATATTCTTTAAAATAATAAAACTAAACTTAGGATATAAACTGTTATCCTTTTGAGAACCTTTAAACAAATTTATATGTGAACACCTTTCACCATATATAAGAATAAACTCAAAATGGATTAAAGACTTAAATGTTAGATTCAAAACCATAAAAATCCTAGAAGAAAACATAGACAGTAAAATCTCCGACATTTCTCATAGTGACATTTTCCCAATATACCCCCCGGTCAAGGAAAACAAAAGAAAAAAAATAAACAAATAGGACTACATCAAACTAAAAGTTTCTGCACAGCAAAGGAAACTATCAATAAAATGAAAAGACAACCTACTGAATGGGAGAACATATCTGCCAATGATGCATCTGATAATGGGTTAATATCCAAAATTTATAAAGAACTTATGAAACTCAACACCAAAAATAGAAACAATTCAATTTAAAAACGAGCAAAGGACCTGAAGAGACACTTCTCCAAACAGGATATACAGATGGCCCAACAGTCATATGAAAAGATGCTCAATGTCACTAATCATAAGAGAAATGCTAATTAAAACTACACTGAGATATCACCACACATTTTTCAAAACAGCCATCTTCAGTGAGGGAACCCTCATGCACTGTTGGTGGGAATGCAGACTGGGGCAGGCACTGTGGAAAGGAGTATGGACTTACGTCAAAAAATTAAATTGGAAGCTGCCTTATGACCCAGTGATTCCAATTCTGGGAATGTAGGTGAACAAACCCACAACACTAATTCAAAAGAATATATGCACCCCTATGTTCAGTGGAGCTTTATTTACAAATAGCCAAGATTTGGAAGTAGCCCAAGTGCCCATCAATAGATGAGTGGATAAAAAAGCTATGGTACATTTACACAATGGAATACACTTGGCTGTGAAAAAAAGGGAAACCTTACCTTTTGAGATAGCATGGATGGCCCTGGAGAGTATTTTGCTAGTGAAATAAACCAGTCAGAGAAAGACAAATCCATATAATTTCACTTATATGTAAAATCTAATAAACAAAATAAACTAACAAACAAAATAGAAACAGACTCCTAGATACAGAGAACAGAATGACAGCTGTCAGAGGGAAGGTAGCGTTGAGGGACAGGGTGAATAAGGTGAAGGGATTAAGTAAAAAGAAAAAACAAATATACTCCAAAACAAACAAACAAAAAAACCCTCAGACACAGACAAACAGTATGTTGATTTCCAAAGGGAAAGGGGGGTTAGAGAAAGGGGGCTAGGGGTTAGAAGAGGGTAAAGGGAGAATAACTGGTGATGAAGGGAGACTTGACGGGGCTGTGAACACACGACATAATATACAGACGACGTGTTATAGAATTGTATCCCCTGTGAAACTGACATAATTTTATTAATCAATGTCACTTCAGTAAAGTCAATACAAATTCTATGTCAGTATTTCCTGGCTGAAAGGTTTATATTCATGTAATAAATAGTTTGGAATAAAAGAAAAAATAGTCCCCTGAATGGAAATAATCATCTACTATGCATCAATTGGAATGTTAAAAATGAAGCAATTTTAAACTTTTACTTCTGGAAATCATCTGATAAATGCTTTCTAATTTTAATTTTTATTTGACACAAACGTAATCAAATCATTTCTGAAGAAAAAATGAACTATAATTCAGCTACTGTTACTAGACAGTATTCCAAGACAAATTTAAAAGGTATTTGATTTTAACATTTAACATGTGTCACCAAAATGTTTTCTTTTTACTGAACAAATTTAAAATCAAAAGATTTAAGAGTTTTAGTATATCAAATATCTTATACAAAATCACTGATTAAGTTGTTAACAAAATTTTATGAGCCCACAACAAATGGAAGCACATAATGATTCAGAGTACAACTTTATAATCTGAACAATACTCTATAACATAGACTTTTTATTTTAAATAATTGAAATTTTCTAAGTTACTAGAAAATAAGATTATACTTTAAGATGGTGATTTTCAACCAGTGTGTCCTAAGAATTTTTAAAACATACAACACCTAACTATTTAGTTAGGGGCACTGACTTCTTTTCCCTTAGGTTGTCGAATAAAAAATTTAACAAGCAACATAACCATAGCTGTCCAGTGTAAATGAATCAAAATTATACTTTTTTTTTTGGTCCAATGGGCAAAAAACATTTTGGGGGGTAACAGAGAGAAGTTTAATAATTAGTTTATATGTGCCAGAAGATGAGGAAGGTTGAAACTTGCTGCTGTAAGAGATGCTACCTTTTAAAAAGAATTGTTAGTATTAAGACTACTATGCTCAGTTTAAATAGTAATCTTCCTGAACATTCCTGAAAAAGTATTTACATCCTTAGATAGCATGAAAAGGAAACATCATTTAGAAAACTTTCCCAGCTTTACATTTAATTCTCTCGTACCTGAGGTAGAAACTGGCAAAGATTTCCCACTTGAATATTTAAGGCTGCAACTTTTTCTTCTACTGTTTTCAGGGTTGTTGATTTTTTGTTGATGTACCACAAGGACTGATTTTTTGCCACATCAATCTCACGGGTAATTATAAGATTTCCAGAAGTCCTGAACCTAGTTAAAAAATAATTTTAAATCTTTACATTCAAAATAATACGGTATTTCAGAAATAAAATTTCCAAAATTCTCTTGCACCAAAGATTGCTGGATAGGATTATTTTTTCCCCCTTTTGATATTTTGGCCCCTCTGAAGAAGAAAACCTTGACATTTTATTAGTAGTAACACATGATTTAATACTCTTTCAACATTCAGAATCATTTAGACTTAAAATCAAATGCCAATACTAACTCCTAAACACTGCCAGAGGATTTGCATAGCTGGAGTTATTTATCTTTTAATCATTATGCTATTCTTCAATCAAATGCACTGACTGCAATTCAAAATTGGTTGGTATATAAAAGCATGTAACATAACAGTTAAACCTTGAAAATCCCTCCACTTAGAAAATGTATGAATGAAACCAACTCTCGTGCATGCATTTCCAGACAGCAAAACTAGCCTGCCCATGGCTGCTCTTCATAATGCACTTCACTATGGATTCACAGGAGACTGTATCACATTTTTTAAAGTTTCACACAGAAACTTTAAAAAATGAGAAATCTGAAAGAAGGGTATATACTTATTTCTTGCTTTTAGAAGTACTACTGCTCCATACCTCCCAACTATCTATCTATCTTCTTCACTGGGAATCAGCAGTATGTGGAAGAAAGATAAATTATTGGTATACAATAGCTATATGACAATAATTTATAAATGCTGTATGTACAGATTATACCATAATCAGCACTCTCCAAAAAGTAAAATTTTAGAACAAAAAAATGTAGTTTTTTTACTTCTGGCAAGATGGAGGCATAGGTGAAGGCACCATACCTCCACACATAACCAAGATTAGAACAAAAACAATTGAGAGGCAGAATAACACCCAGAACTGACAGAGAATTTATCTGAATGGAAGTCGGACAGCCAAGAAGTTGAAGTAGACCCGTTCATCCAGACCGGAGAGGAGCAGCCGGGCGCGGGTCATGGCGCGCAGAGACCATGGAGAACTGGGCGCATAAGGCAACCGGGAGCACATAAGGCATCTGGGGCGCGCAAGATCGCAGCGGGTGGACCCTGAGTACGCAAGCAGCAGCTGGCAGACCCAGTGAGGTGGCAATTGTGGACCAGGGCACAGTGCGCAACCCAGGATTCCAGGGAAGAGACTGAGGTCCCAGGAGAACGGAGCTGCCACCATTGTTCCCTCCCGCCTCCGCCCCTATATACAATGTCACAATCTAGCAACTGAGGTGCCCAGCCCTTGTGAACACCTAAGGCTCCGCCGCTCACCATAACAGGAGCCACCAGACCAAAAAAAAAAAAAAAAAAGAGAGAGAGAGGGAAAGAGAGAGAGAGACATGTCTCAAACAGAAGAACAGATCAATGCCCCAAGACTCATCCTTTTGAGTGACTAAGAGATAGCCAATCTATCAGATGCACAGTTCAAAGCACTGGTGATCAGGAAGCTCACAGAATTGGTTGATTTGGGGCGCAAATTACATGAAAAAATGCTGGTTACCATAAAAGAGATGAAGGAAGATGCATAGAGAACCAATAGGATGGGAAGGAAACTGGGACTCAAAACAATAGAGTGGACCAGAAGGAAGAAAAAAACAACCAAACAGGGAAGAATGGAGAAATAATTTAAAAAAATGAGGAGAAGCTTAGGAACCTCCAGGACATCTTTAAATGTTCCAACATCCAAATTATAGGGGTACCAGAAGGGGAAGAGGAAAAGCAACAGACTGAACAAGTATTTGAACAAATAATAAAGGAGAACTTCCCCATTCTAGCAAAGGAAATAGACTTCCAGGAAGTCCAGGAAGCTCAGAGAGTCCCAAAGAAGTTGGACCCAAGAAGAAACACACCGAGGCACATCATGATTACATTAGCCAAGGTAAAAATGAAGGAGAGAATCCTAGAAGCAGCAAGAAATAAGGGGACAGTAACCTACAAAGGAGTTCCTATCAGACTGTCAGCTGATTTCTCAAAAGAGACCTTACAGGCAAGAAGCGGCTGGAAAGAAGTATTCCAAGTCATGAAAGGCAAGGACCTACATCCAAGATTGCTCTATCCAGCAAAGCTTTCATTTAGAATGGAAGGGCAGATAAAGTGCTTCTGAGATAAGGTCAAGTTAAAGGAGTTCATCATCACCAAGCCCTTATTTTATGAAATGTTAAAGGGACTTATCTAAGAAAAGAAGATAAAGAAAAAACATGTATAGTAGAAGGACAGCAAACTCACAATTATTAACAACCACACCTAAAGCAAAACCAAAAGAAACTAAGCAAACAATTAGAACAGGAACAGAACCACAGACATGGAGATCACATGGAGGGTTAACAACAGGGGAATGGGAGGAGGAAAGAGGGGGAAAAGGTACAGAGAATAAGTAGCATAGATTGTAGGTTGAAAATAGATAGGGGGAGGGTAAGAATAGTATGGGAAATGTAGAAGCTAAAGAATTTATATAAGTATGACACATGGACATGACTAAAGGGGGGATATGGGTGGGAGAGGGTGTAGAGGGGAGTGAAGAGGGAAAATGGGACAACTGTAATAGCATAGTCAATAAAATATATTTAAAAATGTAGTTTTAAACTTACATTTACAACATAATGACTAATAAAGACCCTTTTTTGATTGTCTTGCTATAAACAACAAAAATTAATAAAATGCTGAAACATCTTCATAAATACACTTAGGAGTTAGCATAAAAAAAGGAAGTCTGGTAAAAAATCCCAGGTAGGAACCCAAGAGTGAAAAATGAGGGCATCTGGCAAACCAGGTAAGCTTGCACACTCATTTTCATGATATAACAGGAGAGGGGTGTTGCAGACACAGCCCAGAGTCACGAAGGTATGCAGTCTAAGAGAAACCACCCTCAAAGGCTATACCCTCAGTGTAAGAGCAAACTAGGTATTCTCCATCACCTCCACCACTACTTCCCACCTGCAGCACAGTAAACTGCCTGTCTTAAACAATAGCTTGAACTGTGAAAAAAGCAAAAAACCTCCCCCAAGAGTTACTAAACAGTTTCAAATAGAGTTGTATCTTGAAGTTACATGACATACCTAAGGAGACTCAAAACCCCTCAAACTGAGAGTTCTGTGTATTGTGATCCCAGATTTAGAGTGTCCAATGGTCTGTGACAGAAGTTAATAAAAATTCCCTCTGTAGGAAATCTACCTTTACCCTCAAAGAATTAACACAGATAAAGTCCAAACATAAAGGAGTATCTCTCTGGGTCAATGGCAAAACACACACACACACACGCACACACACAAAACGAAGCGTCAAGAACAAGAACTAGCAGAGGTAGCAGAAAAGAAGAATCAACAAAAAAAGAGATATAATTACAAAATCCTCTTGACAAAAAGAATTACTATGAAAGAAACCAAGATTAGATTCACAACTGAAGATGATATAAAATTATACTTTGCATGTGCTGAAAAAAATCAATGTAAAATTTTGTATCTTAGCAAATGCAGTTGTCAAGATAAGAGCAAAATAACATCATTTTCAGACAAAAACTAAGTGTTCCACTAGAAGACCCTCATTAAAGGAAATTTTAAAGAATGTCCTCTAGCAGAAGAGATCCCAAAGGGAAGAATACAAATGGAAGAAAGAATGAAAAGGCAAAGTGAAAATATGTGGGGTAATTCTAAACAAACAGTAACAGTATAATAATAGTTATATCTTGAAGGGTTTAAAAATAAGATCGAATTAAAATAACATGTAAGTTCAGAGAAAATGTTATGATTAAAATAACAGTACTTCAAGGTCTTATTCAGTAGGAAGATAAAAATATTTAATTAACATTAGACACTAAAGTGTTTATGTTAAGGGACTTCTGGTCAAGATGGCAGAGTAGGCAAAAGCTGTGCTCACCTTCTCCCAGGACCACATCAAAACTACAGAAAAACCATCATTGATAACCACCTTAAGACTAGCTGAACAAAAGTCCTATAATGAAAGACACAAAGAAGCAGCCACAAAGAGACTAGTAGGAGGGGCAGAGACACAGAGTGGGCAGGCCCCAGACCCATCGTGTGGCAGTTAAATATCAGAAGGGATATCTTGGCTCCAGAGGTCCCCCCCAGAAGAACACACAGGCTCTCAGCTCCACAACCAGGTCCCCAGCCTAGGGCACAAGTGCAGGGAAGGGAAGTCTCTATAACAGCTGGCTGTAAAAACCAGCATGGATTGAACCTGAGTGAGACACAGGTCTGCTGGAGTCCCAGACCTTCCTCCAGAGGAGTCTGTACAAACCGCTTGCTCACAGACTCACCTGCTCTGTGCTCCAGTGCGGAGCAGCAGCTTAAAAAGCAACAGGGACACAAGGGGAGAAACAAAATTGACTCGCTTCAGGGTGACGGCTGCGACTGGAGTCATGGTGGCTTCCCCTTGGGATATAAAGTGTTGATGCCATTATTCTTTTGCTAACCCCTTTCCAACCAGTCAGTTAGGGCTGCCAGGTACAAATCTGTGATCTCCATTAACCCAGTTAACACTATTTTTGCTGCTTGTTGATCCCCCAAGGCCACACCCAAAATCAAGCACTAGCCCGAGACACCTCTAGAAGCTTTTCCACCCAAGCGGCTGGCCTAAGCTAATGCTGTAGATTTCCTAAAACCTCTCAACGTTCTCAAAACTGCAAACAAACAGAAGCTGCATTCAGTGTGCCCTGTACCTCTTGCTAAATACCCTCAAGCCCAGCACAAGCAGCACCTGGTCTCAACTTGCACCTTAATGCCCATCAGGTAGTCCTGAGACTGGAAAAAGCTGCAGCCTGTATTTGCCTGGAATTTAGCTTCAACTAGAAGCAGTTGGCCTCAGCTCACACTGTGGTATCCAACAAAGGGTCCCAAGCACAGCATTAGTGGTAGCCAGCCTTGGTTTGCAGCATAGCCTCTCCCAAAAACCTCCAAGACCATCATGAATGTAAACTAGCCACAGATTACTTTGTAGCTCCCACTAGGTGGACCCAGGCCAGGCACAAAAGACAGCTGACCAA